ACGTTGGTTGTTGCCGCGTTTTGATTATAATAAAGGTTTTATAATTTAATACAGTCCACTTTTTTGTTCTTGATATTTCATATCCGGCAACAGTTAAAACGTGGTCACCCCGACCAATTTTGGATTCGGGACCTCGTTCAAACAGATATTTAATTTTTAAATAATATACATGCGTATATAATTCAAAGTGATACGTGACAATGTTCAAAACTTTCGGTTTTTGCATAAAAAAAAAAAAAATACCATTTGGGACTGTACTACAGACTATATCGTTGTATACATTCATCATATTTCAAACAAACTGTTTCGGTATGGATTAAAATTATTTGGAGATAAAAAATAAAGAACTAATAATTTCAGACAAATTAACAAATACATATCCCATCGGTCGAGTCGAGAACTGTTCAAAATATGTGATTTCCGATTTCAAAAAGACCTTAACTGTTTTCCCTGCCAAATATACGTTTTTTCATACATGTTCTCAACCTCTCATTGGTAGATTTGAGAAGACAGAACCAGCTTTATTTGCATATACGATCAAAGATATCGCGAAGCGTTTTGACTGTTGTATGAGAATAAAATGCGTCTGAACAAAAAAAAATTGGTTTTGACAACTAAATTACGTGCGTGGTTTAGTAAGAACTTAAATATTCGAAAATATTTTTAAAATAGGTTTCTCTATCTATGTTAATTACACTTAAATTAGCATATTACTTATACGTATTAGTAATAGGTAGTATATTCGCATTATTGGATAAAGACGACAAAAGCATTAATCTAATACTAAATTTGAGTTTATTCAAGTTTATATGTTGCGTTCCTTAAGGATCACTCAAAGAAATCTGTAATAAAAATTTCATTGAATTCCAGTTTAGTTTTTTTTTTCAAATTTTTTGGAATATTTTGACAATTTTTCGAATTTTCGAACACTCCAATATATTTTTGTATTTACTGGAATAACTTGAAATTTGGCATTAATACAATAAATGAACGAGTTTAAAGTTTTATGCATATTTAAGAGTTTTACTTATTGAATTTTTTTTATTATGTGAGGCCACATACTTTTATGTTTATTTTTTCAACTGACCTAAAAAAAAATCAGTACCAAAAATGTCATTGCATTTTATAAAAAAAAAATTTCTTTATCTTGTTTGTATGTTTTATCTATTTTTCTTCAAATCCACTACTTTAATTTACTTAAAGCCAATAGGTATGGATTATATTGAACGTAGAATGTTCGTTTTTATTTTACAGCAGTGAACATAGGTATTAAGTATTCATAAAAATATCTGCATTTATATCGCCCCTCCAGTCGCTACGGAAGTCGTTTAACCCTATTTAGTTGTGTGGATCATAATAAGTATTGCAATGGTTGAGTTTTGTAACACCACATAATTTGGCCCACTACTTTATACCTATTCTTATAATTATCATTATAATTCTCATGAGTTCGGACACGTCGGGTCGATGGTCCAGTACTCCTGTCCTCGCCGGCCATAGTAATACTATAATTTAAAATATTGTAACATTCCGCAACGCACCGACATAATATTGTAAACCAATTGTCAAACATCAATGGAACCGGTGTTATCCGAAAACAATTTTCTCTTGCTTCGGATCATCTTCGAAACTGATTGTGGTTTTTGTCGTTACCACCTACGACTGATCCTTACAGGTTTTGCGACCACCTTACGTTTTCATTGTTAATTTTCATTAATTTTATTTTTTTATTTTTAACTGCAGCGACTCACCCACTAAGTATACCGATGTGTCCTCTGTGGCCGAACCGGCCGGACCGGCCGAACCGAATTCACTAGTTATTTTGTCATGTCAACTGTGATTCGTGATTCAATATAACGTGTATTGTATAAAAGCAGGGGCGGATCTAGAAGGGGTTGAGGGGATCAGCTGACCCACAGTTAATATTTGTTGACAAAATTGGCCTCTTGGAAATTTTTTTCTCTTTTTAGTCCTTGATTTTGACTCTTGGACAGTTGGCCCATCGGAGTTACTTGAAAAATAAATGCCATGTATATTCAAAATTTAAAATTTTTCAATTCATAATTTATATTTTAAATTATATCGTTTTAGTAGGAAATTAAGTAAATCATATTTTATTCCGTACGTTTGATGCGCTGATAAAATTAAATTATATTTATTAATTGTAAATAAGTCATTATCGGTGGTATCAATAATTCTAAAATGTAATATAAATATACTTATATACTTTTATGAGCATATTATGTTTTTTTTTTTTACAAGGTATTCATTTCTAATTCAGTTTCATCCCTAATAAATGGTCTCTTGAAATGGCTTCACCCACAGTTCCCTGACTCTGGATCCGCCCCTGCATACAAATGTCAAGTATTTCAATACTAGTGCCATTCAAATGTGTTAGTTCAAATCGAATATAAATTACATACCTTACACTAATAAGCTTTTTTAACACATGTAGCTATCAGCAGTTGAGAGTAATTTGCATGAGTTGACTTGTGACTACACGATAATAATAATAATTTTTGTTGATTATTATAAGCATTTTATTGTTATTATTGTTAATTTATGTTGATATAAAAACACGAGTATTATTATTAGTGCTGCAAATAGGTTAGTGCAAATAACAATGTGGAGCCCTTTAAAATGTTTTTACCATAATTTAATAAGCATAATAATTTAATATTTACTTTTTAATATCAGCAGTGTAGTTATAATATATATAAAATATTGAATGTTCAAATAAATCAAAATTTACTTGGAAATATCTTAACAGTTTTAAAATAATATTTATACCTATTCAGTTCAAAAAGATATAAAAATGTAAAAACATTATTTATAAAATGTTAAATTATTAATAACATAGAAATGATAAAGTAGGTAGAAAAATAATTAGGTAGTAAATAAGTTATAAGTTATATGTATTAATTATTGATTAGATTAGACAAAACAATTAATGTTTAGACTAAAACTTGGTTACTTAATCAATAATTTTTATTTTAAAAAAAAAATATTTTTTCGGTCTTTTTTATTGGCAAAGTTGTCAATCACTTTATTTATATTAAAATCTTGAGTTTTGTTACATGTTAAAATACTTATTTTTGCAAATATTTTATTCTAAATATAGTTTTTTAAGTAATTTTTTTATAATTTGGAATTTGAGAAAATAATTCTCCACTGACGCCACCGTGACAGTTAATGATATAAAAATTACACAAGGAGTTAAGTCATCTTTGTATAGAGATCTCATGTAATTAAATACAGTTTCTGAAATATCAAAAAAACTTCTTGTGTTCCGTTTAATCACAAACGAGGCCCAATTGAAGGTGTTAACCTTGGCTCTTCTCATTAGTTGCGGCACCGAATTCTATTATTTCTTTTATTTCTGGTGTGTTTATATTTAATAATTTATTACATATATTAACCACGAATGCTGAAAAGAAATGAAAAATTATAATAGTACGGTATTATTGTATAGGTACATTATATTCGAATCATAAGGTGTATCGATTATAATGGACGTATACCGATAACACTAAGGAGGTTATGGTCTACGTGCGATTTGTCTGACCAGCTACTAATTCAGTTAATAGTCCATAGGTAAGGCTAATGGTACAACGTGTAAGGTCTATGTTTTAGACCAACTTAACCATGGTAGTCGGAATGAACGGGTGCATTCTTCGGGATTTCTATGAAACTTCTCTTGGGAGAAGCGCTCACTTCCTATGTACCAATTATTACGTGCAAGGAAATATCTTTCGTTTAATATCGCACCACGTTTATACATCACTGTATTACTACCCGCGGTCAGTGATAATCTTCGTCGGAAATTATTTGGATGGAAAATTAAATATTAACGATTTACATTCGATATTGCCCCGTCTGCTCGCGATTTCGGCATCGGAATTGTACTGTATCAACGAGCTGCCGTTAGAGATACACATAAGCGAGGACGATTGATCGGTCAGAGGGAGTTACGTCACGGCGTAATAGCCGAAAATACGTATTTATAGCCGCGGAAACCACTGCGTGCGATATCGGAAATTTTGAGTTATTTTATTTACGTATTATTTACTTTTAACTTAAGTGACTGGTAAACAACACGAGTGGTGCTAAGCAAACGGGCCAAAAATGCGCGCGCTTGTGTGTGTGTGTTAGAGCAACGGCGTGCGCTCAGCGTGTGCGAATAGTCGCGGCGACGACGGTATGGCAGTCCGATGGGAAATCATCCAAGATGTTACAACACGAGTTTTTTTTTCCCAATTGTTAGACTCTAAACCTAATGGACTGAAATAAAAACAACGCTCTGCGCTGGGACCCATTGCCGTCGCCTCCGCGGTTCTCGTTTCAACAATACACGACAACGACTATGTCGATGGAGATCGATAAGAAAATAATTTATATATCATTTAATCCATAAACGAGTGGCGGCTAACGTCAGTAAATTTCAATCTTCTCCACGCACTCCTCCCCATATCCTTCCCACGATATCTTTACGTCTTTGAATTCCTCTGCATTGTGTGGATAGTGTTACATTTTATACTGTTCCTTCGTACATGCTCCTTCACCCTAACGGAATTCCGTGTACATATACATTATAATAATATAACGATTTTTAAAGTGATAAAATCGGAACTCGTGCACGCTCAACTGGGCGTAAAAATCCACTCGGAACCGTACTATTGGCATCGTATACAACAGTCTGTGGTCTGCGCCCCCTCCCCTCTGGAGATCCACGGCACTCATGTCAGACTTACGTCTGCAACGCTATCGCCTTTCTGGTCGTACACGTATACATATGCTCAAATTTTATCAGAGTAAATGAAAAAAAAAAAAATGGTTATTGAAACAATACGTTCATGTTTTTAAACTCGAGCGATCCCTGACTTCAAAGATTAGTAATAAAGAAATCTGAATATATCAAAAAGTTGAGATCTATTGGTGTACACGATACGTCCACGTTTGTATGTGTACATGGTATTATACGTATTTGTGTGTTTGCATACCTGTTAGTCCGACTTTTCCTCTCACGTTCGACTTCTTCTCGCCTCGCGTTTTTCGTCGACGTACCCGGCTTACATCTGGCCCGGTCGTTCAACTTGAGCCACACCCGCACGTAGCAGAAAGCTATGATCAGAAACGGCAGCACGAATTGTAATATGGCAGTAATGGCGCCGAATATCTGCAAAGAGAAAAAAAGTCAAACGAATTACAATTATGGACAATTGTCTATAGTCGTTTTAAACAACAATTCTTATTATGGGAATGTCGCATGCATAACCTATGCATAAAAGCAAGCGCAACCATATGTAATAATAATATAATATACAAAAAGTGTTTCTTGAGCATAATAATTTGGCGTTCGACTAGAAACTGAAAACAGACCTATGAGAACCGATTTTGGAACTCAAACCTTTGTGAAATAATAATAGTCTAACCTTTCAAGGAGCTTTTAATACACATTTAAAAAATAAAATCAGAATCAGAACTTCGGTCGAAAAAACTTTTATAAATAGTGTATTTAAAAAAAAAAAATTGTCAGTTTTTATTATTTGCACGGTTTGTATTTTTCTTATAAAATATTATTTATATTCATCCAACTAAATAGAGGATAAATATTTAGATTATACAAAGATGAAAAATAATAACATCAAAATATATGTAAGTAACTACACTGTAAAAGTACTAAGAAGTTCAACACGAGTAACCGACTAGTAGTTCCGACTCAAGATAAGCCAATATATAACCTCATATCATTATACATGTTGAGAGGGCTAAAATTTCTTAACAGCATAATAGGGATGCTGACTTTTCACATTAAGCCGTGAGGTGGAAGGTCAGAAGGATTCAAAGAATTTAAAATTCCTTGAGAATATGGTAGTGCAATGTATCCTCAATATTACACACCGCATCTACTATACTATTTGATTTGACTGGAAATTTTCTATAAAAATTAGTTTATTTATTTTATTCACTGTATCATTTCTATGTGACACTATTGCTTGCCCTTGGACAAAACCAGTGATTATTTCTCTCTAATACATTTTTAAGACCCGGTTATATTGTATCTATTAAAGTTCTAATCAAGAGACTATACGTCACAATCTAACGTTAAGATCAATTTCAACCTCACTATTGTTAGTGCCAGGAGAGGTAATTTTTCCTTATTAAAGTTTGAGTAGTAGTTACAGAAAATCATTGTTGCTCAAATTGGTTCTCATATTTGTTCGGAAATTGAGAGTTTCACCACAATATAGATTATAGGAAATTATTGTTCTTTGAGTAGGCCTTTTGTTTTTATAAGTTATAGAACACAATGTAACATAATTGAAACATCCGTCTGAGAGACTTAATTATTACCTGCGTATATAGCATTTATATATTGTTCCATATATTTACATATACTTAAATATTGTTACGATGAAAATTTGGAAAACCGTATATATTGTTATTGTAAACAGTTTATGAATAAATAACATGTCAGCTTTGGAATGTTTGACACACATACTCATGCATACTGCATATAATAACATATATTTATGTGTGTGTGTGAGGTTACGATTGATAATAATATAATAATAACTATAATACCCTTAATCTTTTGAAAAACAAATAGCTTTAGAATGTTTTTTCTCAATAGAAAATGCGTGAGTGCATCACGTTTAGATTTTACGGCTTAAAAGTATTTTAAGCTCGTATGCAAATTTGTTTTAAAATAGTACCTACCGCTGTTATATTACACAGTAATTATGTATGGAAACAGATTAACGTAGGAATTCATGTGTAGTAAACGAAAACGACGAATATAAAATACAATATAATAATACTACAACTTTACAATAGTAATACATAGTATATGTATGCCTAGCTATGATATACGAGTACTTGCTATAATTTGAAAATAAAAATGTACATACAGAGAAAGCGTCATATATTCGATCCAGAAGAAACCAATAGTTGCTTATAAAATTAATTTTATTGTCATCGTAAATAAAAATTTCATGTTCCAGCAAAATATTGATCTACAATTATATAGTGTGTACAACACATTATTACATTACTCGAAGAACGTGCAAAATCAATAAAAAAAAGTAGTTATACATAGCCCATTCCTTTCATAGTGGGCTTTTAATTTTGAGTCCCGGTTATAAACAAATGTACACAAAACGATAATTATTACTCTATTTCGTATGCACATTTTCAACATAAACAGTGTATTACCATTGTGTTTCAAATATTGGCATACGAGAAAACGTATATTATCCATGTGCTCATCATACGCCCGTTGAGTATAGTGGTCGAACTATCCGAAGGTTTTTAGTGAAAATAAATAATCACAATAATAAGCAGATTGGATTATAGTGTGAATAATTTCTGTCTATGTGCTTAATTGTGTTACTACAACGCTGTTCCCTACAATTATCATCAACGCAGTGTAAACTACGTCAACTGCGGATAATATTATTAAGTTTAAACTGTACATATTATACAAACGGTGGAAAGGAAATGTCATTACTGTTAAACGCGTCGGAAAACTACGTTTCGAGTATTGCGGTGCGCCGTCGTCACAAATCTGCAACACATCACGAGCGGTGCCAGACGTTGTTTTATAGATATATAATAATAATAATGATAATAATAGTAGAACAAAGAACACAGGAAATTGAGAATGCCAGAACCATAGTATGATATCGTGACCATATACTCGTACATTACTTTGTAATACATATATGCTCATCGCGTTATGTTCAGAGGTCATTTTAACGTGTAAGTTGTTCTATCTTCTAAAAGTTGTGGTGTAATCATTCGAACGTGATTTTCTTTCGGAAAATTATAATGGTTGTATTCGAAACGTTCAATCGTTATAAAATAAGAACTTATTATTTTCAATTTTCTAATGAAAACATAAAAGTTCAGTTAAATTTTGTATAATTGTGTAGTTCTTACCACTCGTGAGTTTTAATAAGAACGTGTGTTAGCGCCGGCGATATCGGTTTTTGGTACCCAGTTACATATGATGGGTAGCGTCACACACCGACTGGTTTGAAATTAATACCGCGAATACGTTATATAAATCATAATTTTAATTAGGTTTAATATAATATTTTCATCGTTTTTCGTCGTTATTGTGAGGATAGGTAACCGAAAAGGCCGATGTGTTTGTGTATTATTGTAATATTCGTGTGCTAGATATTTATATTTTCTTGTCTCGCGCAAACCACCGTCCAAGAACGTTACGAGTCTTTTCATTTTTATATTATTATGTGAATATGTAATACTATTAATATATTGTAATACTGAGACGGTCGAATTGCCAATAATTTGAATTAAAATATGATATCACGTACGTGAATTGTCGCGAACTATGATACTTATTATTTATTTTTGGGTTAAAAGGGCAATATTTATATTTAATTATTATTAGTATTTATAACTAAATTACTGTGCTGTGCCATTATAGAGCCAGTTTTTTTAATAGTTATACACCCAACCTATATAATATATAAAATATATATATATATATATATATATATGAATTTTACATCATATACTTTAACAGTTTTTACCGAAGATCCCAACCTTTTCTGTCTAGTTATTCGTTATACAACCGGCCAGGTATTTCATGTTACTGTAGACCAAACCTACATATTTAACTGGGTGACAAAAATTACAATCCATAAAGTGAATCATCGAAATTTCGGTACTAAAAATTTGATTGTGTTCATCACCTCAGGAAATATTGCAATGAAAATATTCTCGTGGACACTATAATAACATCGAAAAACCAGATGAGGTAATTTCAATAATAGGTATTATTTTTTATACATAAACCTAAGTTAATACAGAAACTGTTTTTTGTATTTATATGAAAAATAAAGTGATTTTTAATTAATTTAAAAAAATTGATAAAAGTGCTATTTATCGGACTTAATATATATATTTATATACTAGTAATATCTCATAATATCGTATACGAAATATTATACAATATCTCTACTGTGGCATTTTTGCCAGTGACGTACATAGAGCATGGTGAACTGTACCTAAATCAAAGCCATCAATCGTGATAAGGAACAAAATTGCCTTCGAGACATACTTTTATTGGTCGATTTTTTAAAGTTTCCCATGGTTGCTAGCGAGATTTATTCCATGTCATGTTATAGTATGCATATATTATATCACACTATGGCTACGCAAATATTTCTTTCGATTTCGTATTTCGAACGACTCGCACTTTCGTCATACAAAGGTGATTAATTATACAAGAGTGTAATACGAATAACTTAAAATAATTTTATTTTTCAGGAGAGTTGCATGCGTTTATACACAACGCGTTTAGCAATACCTCTGTATATGTTTAAATACAAAGATCCCATTTCGTAATTAGCTCGACGAAAGTGAGTTTGTGAAGATTTGTCGACTACCTCGGCAAAATACACGCATGGACAACAAAAATCAAAATACATATTTGTTAACGTTAATATGAATTTTATTTTAGGATAATGTACATTATTATTGTGTTCTGTGTCTACGATAAACACGAGAAAACGAAATTAAAATGGCACTAAACGATAGCAGCGAAGGGATTTACAAAATGCGTGATTTGGACATAGATAAATGTGATTATGTTTTCAGCACTACGAGCATCTAAGTAAAACATGTATAATATACATGACTAATAGTATTATTACTATTATTACTACTATTATGGACGTACTTCGTAACAATTCGGGAGGTACTCGTGTATACGTGATAAGCGCCCATAACGATCGTGAAGGCGTAACAGTCGCATTATACGCTGCAATAGTACATAGGTCATATTATAATACGTTGCGAATATATTAGAAGAAAAACTTGAAAAAATATCACCTTAACTCAAGTTATGTACCCATGTATATATTTACTTATTTTTGCGTTTAGAATAGGAGGTATGATGTATAAACCACAAGGTGGGTAAAGTGTGGTCAGCTCTTTATACAAGTTTTTCCTCTACTGTGAACCAGGGAACAAAAGCATGGATGATATTTTTGACGATCCAATATAATTATACGAGTAGAATATTTTATAACAGAGGTGGTGAATCTACGGTATGTATGCCAAAGGTGTCATTTTGACCAAATTTCAATTGCGAAAAAATTAAAATTATTAAAAATATTAGTACAAAAAAAAAAAAAATTATGC